GTTTTTTAGCTTGCCTCCGATACTCCTCTCTTGGATCTTTGTCTCTATCTACCTCTGTGTCTTTACTATTCAATCTAAATATCTCTCCCATCTCTATCCCACTATGCTGTCAGGCCTCCAGAGTGTCTACCGAAGTTCCTATCTTCCTTTCAAAAGTATCTTCTTACTTATCCAAATCCATTTTTAAATCTCTTAAAGTACTTTTCCCTTCATTTGTTTCATCAGTCACCATTATCTTTATTGTCTTCTTCTTCTCATCTTCCTTTTTTATTTGCTGATTTGTCTGTTCTATCTTTTCCTCCATTCTTTCTGTTGTTTCCTCTCTTTCCCGGACTTTTTGATCTTCATTCATATAAGTTGTAGGGTATTTTCTATTTTCTCATTTATGCCATGCAATAGGTTCTTCATCTCCCTCTGATTCTTTGTCATGGTGTCTTTAATGCTTTGAAACATCAATGCCATTTCTTTTGAAATTTCACTCATCTCACCCTGATGGAGCATCTTGTCTTATTTTAGTAAGTCCCACTCTTGTGCAATAGTCCAATATATTCAATCCCAATGTTGCTCCTCAGAAAGTACAATAATCATAGTTCTTTATATCTCAGGATTATTCAATCAGTTCCATTTAGATAGTCCAGGAAGCTTTCCAAAAGTCAAAAGTCACTTTACTTAAGAGTCTTCCTTATTCTCACAATTGAGTCTCCAGTAATCATAAAATAGATAATTATAGAACAGTAGGTATCACCACAGTCATCCATATGAATGCTGTTTATTTCCAATCTTTATCCCTAGTCTTTTCTCTATACATAAATTGGAAGTATAGATGCTCTAGAAGAGAAAATCACAATCATAGCAAATTTTGATGAACAAGCCTAATGCAATAGATTCCAAGGAAGGAAGGAACACATTCCAAAGAGGACAAGTTTCAGCATAGTCTGGAGCTTGATCATGTTAAGAGGAAGAATTTTAGAAGAGCCACTCTCTAGAATCTTCCAGGACATATCTGTGAGATGAGGGTAGCATAGGTTTAATCTGGTAAGATTCTGTCCATGTGGTGTAAGCGAATAAAAAAATTGAACTTTAGTTGGATTTCTTGAAGGTTACTCTTGGGCTAGGCCTGACAAATTCTGGCCTTCCTTAAAAATGGTAAGGGCATCTTTACCCGCTTGACTTACCTATTTATAATCCTTAGAAGCATACTCCTCAAAGTGAAAGGAAATTTCCATCAACAGAATAATACTCATGCTTTCTATATATTTTTTCAAGCCAAAGGTCAGGCTTATTCTTTAAATAACAAATTGGGGAATGAATTCCCCAAAATAAGAAGAGTTGGATTAAATAAGTGGGCTGGACTAAAACATTTTCATAATGCCACTCTTTTAGAATTGCTTTTCACTTGTTAAAATACATGTTAGAGTATAAAGTTTAATGATGCCACCACTGTCCCCAGGAATGGTGAAAGAATAGGGTCTATGTTGCCTTTCTAAAAGATAGGAGCATGAGATGTCTCCAAACATTAGATGGCAAACTTTCCACAGGACTAGAATAGGGTTGGAAAATGCTTGCTTCTTCTATTCCATATTTCTAGCTTTCTGAAGATGAGAATGTGGAACAACTCCTGAGTAAGCCACACTAGATGGGAAAATTCTGTTCAGACCAGATGGTACTGGAGGAAATGTGAAAATGTTTTATATGTGAAAAATAGCACTCGAATTTGACCTGGAAAAAGTACCCAACACAATGCCAACAAGAGTGAGGTAAACCAACTAAATGGCTCTAACCCATTAGCAGTTGGTTACTATATTCTGTACTGAAGATGACTTTGAATTTTCCAATTCATCTTCCAAAACAGTCCCAACTTTCCTTAAGAAACCCACATATTTTAGATTTTTATGTTCTGAAGTCAAACTAGGTGGTGGTCCTATAACTACAGAGAATTCTAGAGAGGATGATTTATCTATTGCCATATTAGTTGAGATTCACACCTGGCTATGGTTGCTTTGCTAGTTTATCTCTGGCAAGGCTGAAATGGAGAACTGTGACTGTCCTGGTTTTGTTGAACTTTGGGGCATGGTAATTGGACATTTTTCAGGGTTGAAAATGTGGGACATTGTTTTACAGTAGTTATCATTCTTTCTGAGTAGTCAACAGCAAACAAGTATGTATCTGGAAAAACAACATGTTTCTGGGAAGAGATCACATGCTCAGATTTCCCATTATAAGGATGCCCTGCATTCAACATTTACATGAAGCTGCTGCATTAGGCCATTCATTAATACAGAGTGAGGTAACATCAGTATGTTGAAGATAGCGAGCTCCACACCTGTACTGACACTAATAGCCTGGAATAGTTGTGAATCCAAAGGCCTTATCAATCTGAATATGTTCCATCTGTAGGTTATGTGGAGAATCAAGGAGATCATCTTGAGGAAAAGGTAGTGTTTGGAAGAGATTCAGGTAGGATTCTCCTGATTCACTGAGCTATAAACTGGTGTAGAATGTGTGGGTAGTAAATTATGCTGGATATATAGCAAAAGTAACACCCTACTAAATGAGCTGCAAAGGCTACAGTGTGTTTCTAGATCCAATTCAAGGTGCTGGTTATCATCTTTAAAGCCCTACTTGGGCTTGGGACTATGTTACCTGAGAAATCATCTTTTCCCAAGAATCTCTATCCATCCAATTTGATCCAGAAGATTGGGTATGCTGCACATCCTATCATCCAGAGAGTTGACTGGCAGGAACTAGAAGATGGACCTTCTCTATCATAGATCCTATTTTGTGGAATATCCTCCCATTGGAGATTAGAATGGTCCAAACCCTGTTGGCCTTTCATAACACTTTAAAATTTTGTATATGTTCCTAGGCCTAGAATGTGTTAGGACTCTCTTTCTTGGATTTACTATTAATTGCTTAATTAACTCACCTATTATATGTATTTATTTTTGTGATACTTTTACTATTTTTAATTGTTATATGATTATAGATCGTAAGTCACCCATAGTCATTAGGTTGAGATGGATGGCTATAAAAATTGAATAATGGAATAAATAAGGTAAAAGGGAGAGGAGGTAAAGCACAATAAGTCTTGCAAGATTGATATCAGCCTTTTGGGATAAAGTATATCAGGAAATAGAGTTCTTATAATACTAGAACTATACTTTTTTGAGATAGGCTATAGTAATCAAATTTTGCAACTCCAATTGCATTTTACCTTCCTTCCTCTTATCTCCCATTGAATACTTCTTGATTCTTAAAACGTACAGAATATTTTAGCTTCTTTTCTTATATAATAATTTTTATTTCCTTCAAGGCCATCCTGGTTCTCTACATGTAAAATTGTGCTCCTATATGGAGCTGATTCACAATCTTGAGTTTCTCTTGGACTCAAACTTATTGAACAGTAGGTGGAGGCCATGACAAGGACAGCCTTCCCACAATTATAGCTAGGGCAGCACTTTTGTCCTTGCCTGAATTAGAATGCATTGTACATAATCATTTTATTTATTTATTTTTCTTCGAATTATATAGCTGTATATCTCACATACATGACTCTGAGCAGATTATAATAAAATAGATAAAAACAAACAAAACTTATAATACATAATGAAAACACATGAAAGCTGAATCTCATAAAATAACTACCAACAATGTCAGGAGATGGATTTACCACTTTTGGAGCTCCAGACCTAGGCACAAATCCAAATTTTTAGCGCTTGTGAAAGGCCAGCAGGGTCAGTGCTAGCCTAATCTGGGAATGATGTTCCACATAAGAATGCCACTCTTGTTTCTGTTACTTTAACATTGGAGGTTTGCAACTTCCTTGAAGACCATTGATGGAAGTTTACTCTTTTACTGCATGTAGTAATCTGGATAATTTACCCAATCTACTCCAAGAACTGCATTGTTTGCCAATTAGCTTTGGGGTGAATTTAGAGTTGGTTATCATTTTTAAAGTTCTCCATGGTTTGAGATCTCAATGTCTTCAAGAGTACCATCTCTGACTGCCTTCACTAAATCTGCCTGGCTCTTTGACCAAACAATAGGGGATAGTAAGACAGAATCTGTCCTTGGTGGTGGATATTGTTAGAAAGGGTAGGTTAAGTTTATGATTATAATGTTACGGTGTTTAAATTCTTTTGCTGATAATTATACAGTATATAACTTAGAACCTGTAGGAATAAAATGTCAGAGAGACAGACAGACAGACAGACAGACGTATATTTATTTTTTAAAAAATGAATAGATATATTAAGTTTATCCTGTTTTTTTTGTTCAGTTGTAATAATTGCCATAATACTGTATATTCCTTAAGTATACTTTTTCACTTAAAAAATAATAAAACAACATCAGTGCATTTGGGAAATGAGTAAAATAAAACAAATAAATAGTTTTGAACAATATTTTATATCAGAGTTTGAGTTTCCAGATTTTAAATTCCATTTTCCTTCAGCCCTATCTACATGGCAAATGGGAGAGATGAAGGAAATTTTTAATATTAAAAACACCATATGTCAACCACATTTGTTTTATATAAACATATAGAATTCATAAATCAAACTCTACTGCTTATGATTTAAAAAAAAGATTAGGAGTCCATCAAGCCAGCGTTTTTGCAAAAGAACAAGCTAATCATGACTTATTTGCATTTTGCTGGTGGTTTATTCTTTTAAAATTGATATTTGTAGATCTATTGAGGTTCAGCAGAAAACAATAACAAATCAGAAATAAGATGAGTAAATACAAACTACATGAATTATCATTTATTGCATTAAGCCATATATGTACACAGATAACATAAACCATGGTTTCAAATAGTGGTTCAGACATTTACATGCGAACCTACTATTATTTAATAATTTATATAACTTTGTTCAATGGCCATGTTGCTAAGTTGGAAGTTGTAGGCAAACTTTGCAAACCTGAGAAGGCAGCAGATCCAAAAAGGAAGCTCGCAGGTTTGTAGTCTGTAATGATAGATTTTGTGATCTTATTCTCAGCTTCTGAACCCAATTTGAAAGTTCGCTCCAAGTTAAAACAAAAAGTAACAGAAAGAAGAAGCAGCCCTTTACTCAGAAGGAAAGATGGAACAATGGTCTGCTCATTGAAGAAAAGATTATTTGAGATGACAGGTAATGAACTAGAAATATCATGTCTTAATTATTATTATAGTTAATTACATAGTCAGTCAGATATCCAGACTGGATTTGGCATTTTTATCTACCTATCGAGTCCTTCCTAAAGACTTGAGATAAGCAGAAGTTAAGTTTGATAAGTTAAAGATATCTCAGAATATAAATTGTTCCAAGTAAAGCTGCCTTTTGCAATTGACTGATGGCTATTTTGCTAATCCAATGGTGCTCATGTAGTGCTCCAGTTGTTTTGGGATTTCACCCAAAGGTAGTAACATTGATACTACCTTTCCTTCTTTTGCCACAGTCATTCTATTTCTGTTTGAAGATCTTTGTATTTTGTTATCTTCTCCAGTTCTTTTTCTTCTATTCTGCTGTCTCCAGATATTACCACATTCACTATCCAAACTTTTTTGTCTTTCTTATCGACAGTTAAATCTGGGGTGTTATGTGGCAGGTCCCTGTCTGTGAATTCTAAAGCCCTGGAGCAATTTAACTTCTTCATTTTCTTTGACTTTATTTATTTTATGGTTACTCTAGTTCTTATTATATTATATTATTTCTGCCACTGGTTTCTTTAATGAGGATCATTATTTAGAAGATATCTTTAAAATCAGAGTAAATCCTAAGATTGTGCACTTTTGAAAAATGATTTAGAAAAAGTTATTCACAAAAGTTATTCATTTATAATTTATGTGAAAATGAGCCATAGTAACTCCAGCTGTATATATTTAAAAATGTTGAAACTTTTCCACAATTCCATGCAAGTCTTAAAGAAGGTTGTGCTATTAAAGTTACTTTAATTACAGTTTATTTTTAAAATAGCATCTTTATTTTGTAGTTTGTGTAGAAACCTGAAAAAGATCTTAAAGGTTCCTTTAATAAATAGCAGAGAGCTACCATGTTTGTGCTTGCATGATATCTGAAACCGTTCTCAATAATTTCAGACACCTTAGTAAATAGCTAATTTAAAGGAACCAAATGTTTGTCTATTGGTCATTAGCAACAAGATTATTTTTGAAGACAGTATTTATGGGGCATCTGTTACTTTTTATATAAAAAAGGCATTTTATGTTTGCAAGATGAATAGTATATATAAACATACCATTCTGTTTTGGTAATTACACACACACACACACACACACACACACACACACACACACAAACACATACACACACGTATGTGTGTGTGTGGTTCTTATTCTTTTGATCAACTCATAAAATATATTTTCTTTGTCTACATAAAGAACTTTAATAGGTGCTTTCATCTATTATTCAATAGTGGCATATATAGTGGCCTCACCATGTAATCTTAAAAAAGCACGGCTTTTTTATAGCAAAACAAAGTACGATAAAATCATTAAGATACTATATTTAGGTTTTGAAGATTCCTGGTTTTCCCCCTAGAATTCACTGACTGAACTGCAAATGAGGTATTGTTTTTTATTAGTTGCTCATATAAAGGCCAGTTCACAACTGAGTCCTCCAGGGGTTTATCCAAACAGCCAAGGAATGGCAGCAGGCCTCATGAATTGATGACATGTTATCTTGACCTTTGGGAGTCCAGTATCTCTATCATGCTGGTCTCTTACAGAGGGAGCAGAGAATGAAGCCAAAGGTACTTCCTTTTCCTTTACTCATTAGGAACTTTTTTTTAGTATTTTGCCTACCACTGAGAAACTTGCCCCTCTTGGAAGGAGGAAAATATTGCTCAAGTAATAAATTGTGGGGTTTTGTGTATTGAAAACATTATGAGGTAAGGAAAAATTATAACATGAATAAAAGACTACATTGTGTGGGCAACTTATTTTCTGTTGTAGCTGAAACTTTCTGATTACCAATCCTACTTAGATTTATTTCTTTTACCAACATTCCAGAATCATCAGTTGGGAGCAGTTCTCCAGGATCAGGCCCAAGTTCACCATGTAATGGTCCTACAAGAAATACAGAGAATGAAACATCAGTATTGCCTTTGAATTCCCCAGCGGAGGTAAGAAAATAATGGTTTTATGTATCTGGTATTTGGATTACCACACAAACGTTAAGATACCAAAAACTATAAGAAGTCCAAATACAGTGCTTAAGTAGTTATGGGCACCAGATGATTTATCATGTAACATCCGTCTGTTGAGAACTACACAGATTATAATTTTGTTTCTGGATGCAATTCAGGGAGGTGATTGCCACCTTTAAAGCCCTTTGTAGTTCTTCCAGTGTAGTCTGCCTATCCTTTTAAATTTGCAAAATAAGGTTCTCTCTGGGTTGTTACTTTAGCCAGTGTCATCTTCAGAGAACTCAAGTTTGGATGTTCTCAACTGGCTTCCCACTCCTCTTTGGAACAGCATTCCCTCCAATTTCAATAGCTACACTGCAACTGTATAGGTGGTCCTCAACTTATAACCACAATTGAGCCCAAATTTTCTGTTGGTAAATGAGACATTTGTTAAGTGAGTTTTGCCCCATTTTATGACCTTTTTGTCACAGTTCTTAAGTGAATCATCAGAATTAAATTAATAACAAAGTTGTTAAGTGAATCTGGCTTCCCCATTCACTTTGCTTCTCAGAAGGTCAAAAAAATGATCACATTACCACAGGATATTGCAATTGTCAAACAAGCTGCCAAGGATCTGAATGTTGATAGGGATGCTGCAACGGTAGTGTGAAAATGGTCATAAGTTACTTTTTTAGTGCTTGTGTAACTTCGAACAGTCACTAAATAAAGTTGTAAGTTGAGAACTACCTGGATTTTTGTAATTCAATCTTTATTGATTAGCCCTTGGGCCATATTGAAGTGAAGAATTCCAGAAACAAATTATTACTAAAATTCGATAAAGCAATTTAAAATTGAATTGGATAAAATACAATTTTAAATGAAATTGGAATAAAATACAATAATTTAAGATATAGATAAGATATGATAAAATTATATTTTAGTGTCACTCCTACAATCTTCCCCAATCAGTCCCACATATGCAGATCTCAACTGAACCATTTTGCTTAAGTACTGTGCTATGTTAAATATTACTTTCATATTCTGGCCACACATAACGTAAGTTGTTTTGATATGGGGGTCCCAGTGATTCATTTGTTTGGTATAGAGATCAAGGTACCTGTTTCTCGCCTTCTTATACAGGCAACAATCAAATAGGATGTGAGCCAGGTCTTCTACCTCTGCCGCTCCGCAAATGCAAAGACTTTTATTGTAGGGTATAGAATGGAATCTCCCATGTCTGACCATTGTGTCAAACTGTTCAAATCACGCTTGCATAAATATCACCCTAAGATGTTTTGGCAGATGTAGCTTCAAATAGCTGTCTATTTAAAAAGTATGTTTGTATTTGCTTAGCCATCTCAAGTTACCCACCTTATTAAGGATCGCTATATCATTTTGTGTTTCTATATCGTTGATTCTTTGGCCAGCTCTTTTTTTAAATCATTCTCCTGTTATGCAAGAGACAGGAAGGCCACAGCTTCTTACAAAATTTGTTAATGTGATCTAGGAGATTTGTGATTTTGATTTTATTTCCTCTAGTAGGCATAATTTGGAAAGTCTATCAGTCTCCATTTCATTTACTTTGTGCCAGTAGTTATATGCTCTAATTTTGGATAGTGCATAAATTGTATGGATTGCCAATCCAGCTCTAACTGCAACAGCAGATATTCTTGGATCTACATCCAAAATACATCTCAAATGCTGGGACTGTGTTTGTTCTAGTAGTGTGGTTCAGTATAGACCCCAAACTTCTGCTCCATAAAAGAACATAGGGGTAATCTTAGCTTTGTATACTTTAATTAATGGAGCTATGGGCCCTGGGTAACTATGATTATTTAGTTTAAGCAGTAAATTCAAACGAGCTTTTGCTCTAACTATACTCCATTGATGATGGCAAGCCCAAGATCCAGTCTCATAATGCTTAATGGTTAAAGGTGTTAGCCTGTTCAATTAGTTCACCATCTAATTGCCATCGATGTTTCTGATGATGTTTTCTAAACATAGTCAAAACTTAGTCACTGAACCGGTAGTAACACCGGTTGAATCCCACATCTGACTTCCTGCTTGAGCAAGGGGTTGGACTACAAAAACTCCAAGATCCCTTCCAGCTGTATTTTGATTCTGATTAAAATAAACATCATTTAGTTTCAGATATACTCTGTTTCTTTTTGCTAATCGTTGATGTAATGGGGGGAAATAAAATTGAAAATTTGCCAGAAATTTAAAATCCAAGGTTATAATTATTTAATTATGTATACAAGCAGATGGGTCAGTTTTAAACAATTATATTGGTATTTTATTTGAGTAATATTACAGTATATTTAATAAAACATTTCTGATACAAACCACAATTGACCAGAAACTTATTAAAGAATATATGTTCCTTGATTCTTATGTCTTGGAGCATATAAGTTTTTAAAAGCTTATATGCAAAGCATAACAATATATATTCAATTACAGATGCACACAATCCAAATATCTAGATAACCTTGATTTAAACCAGTTTAGATTTTTTTATTTTACTTTATTTTACAGAGTTGTCTGACTAAGTGGAATGATCAAGCAATGCTTATTTGAGAACATGAAAATAATTTATTTAGTTCTTTGGAAAACTAGTTTAATAGTGGCTTTATTCTGAAGTATATATTTTTTCCTGATATTCATTTAGGTCTAATAGGTCTAAAAATATGTTGTACAGTTAATAATCATTTGATTTATGTTCAAATTTAGTATATCAGTACAGCCTTAAATTTAATTCATAGTATGTCTGTACTATTTATAAATTCTGACAAAAGTGATATTGGAATTATTTCAAGTGTACCTTGATTTTTCCTTGTTTTCAAAATAAATACTGATAAAATGAAAGTGGCATTGAAAGGCCAGAAACTTAAGTTCAGGAGGAAATGTTTTTCGGTTTCATAGAATTAAGGAAATGAAAATATTCAGCTTTATCAAAGGCATTACATTTATCAGTTGATTCTCTCAAGTCAGTTCAGAATCAACATGGTATTTATTAGCTTTCTTGACCAGCATGCAATAAAAGTTCATTTGCTTTCTGTTACAAATCCTAGTTGATAATATGGCACAAGTCTCTTAAATATGCTCTACATTTGCCAATTATTTCATTTTTATGAAATGTATTTCATTACTCCAACAAGTTTTGTACATGCCCAGTGTTCAGTAAAAATCTTTGATGTTTGTATGGTAAAAAGATAGTGTTTATTTATTTGAATATTATATCCCATAATATTTAGATACTGTTCAAGATAGCTAGTAACCTAAAATCATCTCCCATTCCCCAAAAGAACGGTGAGAAAAAATGCTTTATCACAAAATATGCAGGTACAGTTGGTAGAATAAAATCATCTTTCAAATTAAGTTTACATTGCATGTAAATCTAAATTAAGATCTTAAAGAACTGATAAAGGGCCATTACTATGCTAATCTAGCCTTTTAGGAAAGGGTCAGGTCAGATGTGGGCCACTGAGGAGCCTTCTCATCCTTCTGTAGATTTCTATAGTTGTATGTGTGTAGTTAGGATGAAAGATGCTTATTAGTAACTGGAGTACTAAATGTTGATGAAATAATTTAAGATAATATGGAATTATCAAAATCCTTTGCTGGAAAACTATTTTAGAAAAGAATTGAGTTGTGAGTTGGTCTCCAAAGCTAACAAAACACTTTTTAATACCTTTGAAGCAGGGTCTTCTTACTCTATAGCTATATTTTCAATACACAGACACAAACACACACACACACACACACACACACACACATACACATACACATACACCTAAAACTAGAATGAGTAAGAGAGAATGAGAAAATATTTGATATTATATCACATGATCAGAAGGCAAGAGTTCAATTCAAATTTGATGACTTTTATTCATTTCTTTTAGAATGATCTATTAGAAACTTCTCTCAAAATTTGGAAAATACTATGAATTGAACTTGAGATCTATTGCATGCGATCATATATTCCTTCTCATGTGAATTAAATTATCAGAAAATAAACTTACATATTTTTAATGATATGCTAACACAAGGCAATCTACATTTTCCGTTGCTCTGCAAAATAGATGGGGATTACCAAACTCTTGACTCTATGAATGAAAGAAAAGGGGTACACCTAAGCGCCATTACTACAAAGGCATTTTCTGTTTTGGTGAAACAGTTCATTATACAGAAGACTGTAAATTAAATGCCTGACATTTCTATTAAAAAGAATAGGTAGACACATGATAGGCAAGAATTGGGAAGGTGACATATTTTTGTTAACCATCAGGCAAGTTATTTAAAATAATTCTTAAATAGATGATTGTATTAATTATAATTGTATTTAGCTGCATTCTGGACTTGGATTCATGCATCAAAGAAACTTATTAAAACTTAATTTAAAAAACCATTGCTTTGCAAAATCTACTATTCAGCATGTAATTTGCATATACTTGCATTAATTATGTTGATTTCTACTAAATTCAATAAAAATGAAGAAATGGAAAAACATTTGCAAGATTGCAACCTGTGAAATCTTTTGATAAAAAAATAGCATAAGGGAAAGTAATTTGTCAGATAGAAAGCTAAAGGGATAATTCTTCAGGTCATTGGTAGGACAATAACCTCTGAAGCTGCAAAGCCCAGTTCAAACTCCAACAGTGACTTTTTCTAATAACGAATTAATTGTATGTGTGAACTCTGATCCAAGGGCAAGCGTGTGACCTCTTCACACTGATAAGTAGCTTCTCTTTGGCCCAGAACAATGCCCTTCCCTAAAAGGTTACATTGATAGCTAACATGTGGTGTTTTTGAGTCATAAAGTTCTGCCTAAGATTCCAGGAAGTTAAAAATATAGAATCTCAAAATGCATTAATCTATACAGCAGTAATTTCAACACAGAAAGTTTAATTTGGATAAAAAAATAATGCATGAGCTGTTAATTTTTGAGCACTAATGTGTTCTGGAAAGACTCTGCTGTGTTTCATCATATTAAACAATAAAAAGGGGGATATTTTCTCCACTATAATTAAGAAATAGGTGCTCATTTTAAAACATATTGGAGTGGGGGAAAACATGTTTGCAGCCTTTAAAAGGAATGTTTTGGCTGAATATTAAAACAAACAAATTTACTATTATATTATACGGTATTATTTGTTCTGCTCTTGAAATGTTAGTTAGGAAACAAGGCCATCATTTAACAGGTAAAACATACGGTGTGCATACCAAAAATCTGTGTTATCTGTAGGCTAAAAAGGATTTTAATGTAAAATACTACATACCTGCTGCTAAAGAAGTAAGAGATAAGAGAATAGTAACCTACATTCAGCAAGGGATCTGCTTTAGTATAAAGATTTTTCTGTGTTCCATTATTGTTTTAAATATATATTGATTGTATGGAAATATTTTCAATCTACTTATTCATATATTATATTAGAATAGTTGAATTATATCAGTTTCAGGTTTACAGTATTTTAAACAAAGTAAAATTAGTTTTTTTTAAAGCATTTATTTATTTCAAGTTGAACTGTTGATATTAGGGTATAGTAGATATTGCATATTAGAAAATAAGTTGGAGGAACATAATTGCTTATAAAAATAGAAATAGCTCGCACAGATCTAGTTTAGGTGCATGCACCCACATCATTAAATTTCTTTATTGCAGGAATGCCTATATATAGCAAATTAAATTCTTATCTAATCTTAGTGTTCTACTATTATATTTTGTATGATTTTTGTAGTATTATATGTTATATAATTTCTATGGACCAGACTTATACTTCTTTAAATATGTAACTGTTTACCATAATTAAAACATCCTATCTGTATGTACAGGGAATTTGGAAATGTTCTGTAGAGAAGGCAAATAAAATATCTGTAGACCCATGTATCCTAACCATACCTCTTCAGTGGCCTCAGTTATTAAGAAGAAATTAGTCTAAGATTCCTTATCTTTTTAGACAGTTCAGGAACAAACTAGTTACTTTAAATCTTGCAGGCACAATAATCCAAGGGAATTCCCTTGGATTTTGATGCCTGTTTTACATAGCCTACCATTTCAGCTCTCCAAACAGAAATGCTTCAGTATTTAAATTTCATTGAACTACTCTGTGTGTTTGCTGTAGCTTATTATGTGGTGTATTTTTTTAAAATTAAGAACTACATAAAAATTTCATCTTAGATTTCTTTCTTAAATGGCAACTCTCTAGGATCAGGAAGATTTATTTATTGATTGATTTGATTTGATTTGATTTGATTTGTCAATTGCCTACAAGTTACAGGTATAAGAATAAATATAGTTTTGAATACATGAGATAGATACTTATAAGAAAAATGAAAAAAATAGGACAGGGACGGTAGGCACGATTAGTGCACTTATACACACTCCCTACAGACCTCTTAGGAAAGGGATGAGGTCAATAGTAGTCTAAGGTTAAAGTTTTTGGTGTTTGGGGAAGAAACCACAGAGTCAGGTGGAGTATTCCAAATATTGACCACTCTGTTGCTGAAGTTGTATTTTCTGCAATCAAGTTTTGTGTGGTTAACCTTGAGTTTGTATCTATTGTGTGCTCTTGTATTGTTATGATTGAAGCTGAAGTATTCATTTTCAGGTAGGACATTGCAATGTATGATTTTATATATTATATTTAGATCGGACCGAAGGCAGCATAGTTCTAGGTTTTCTAGGTCTAGAGTTTCAAGTCTGGTGGCATAAGGTATTCTGCAATGAATAGAGGAGTGGAGAACTCTTCTTGTGAAATAGTATGTACATCAAGAAAAACCTTCTTTTGAAAGTTCTTCACCATAGGCCACATATGCTCTGTATAGAAGATAAACATCCAATCATCAGTTCATGGTCAAAACTGGTTGAAGAATCTGACTTGGCAGTGTACATCAGATGGGAATAAAAGAAGGTTCTATATACAAGTAAAATAATTACCCATATTATTATTATTATTGAGAAACAATAGTAATCCAGGATTCCCATCATTAATATTTCCATGCCCTATATAGGCATGCTAGGGATTGAACTTGGGATATTTTAAATCAGTATGTGCTTTACCCAGAGGTATGTTTAAAACATACCACTGGGTAAAGTTTGGACACATATCATGTTTAAAACATACCACTCAAACTCCACCCTCTGAATCAAGGCTGGTGAGCTGTGCAGGTGCACCTATCGTGTGCACACCAAACGTGCGAATTGCGCATGCACAGGGCTCAGAAACAGCCCTTCCCTGCTGACCTGTGTTGTTTTTTAACTCAGCTGAGGTGCGGCAATCCACTCTGCCACGCGAATCACTGAGCTAGTAAACAGCAGAATATAGGAGAGGTGAGAAGTAAGAGCAGGAGCATGTGGGTGGGGCCAGTCAAAATTTTCCCTACCGGTTGTCCAAACCAGTCAAAATTTTACCTCCAGGACTGCCAGGACCAATCAGAACTGGCTGAAAACCACCTCTGGCTGTACCATGGAGCCACAGCGTTTGCCTAAAGATGCATGTAACAATTAGTCTGAATTCTCCCCTGCACAGAATATTCTCATTGGGCCTGACATTTTGTGGCTTTTTCAATTTGTATCATCCAAGAAAACAAAATATATGGCTCCTTATCATTCACAAGTTGTGTGACATTTCTTGGACCAACTGACCACAGAGGATAACCATTCATTCCACTGGATATTGCTGTCCTACTCTTTATTCCATTTCAGAAAAGCTATTATGAACCATTCCTGGCAGGAACTATTATTTCTTTTGAATTAAATACATACCAACATCAAGTGTATTTTTTTAATGACAAAAATATTTTTTAATGATACACTTTAATGACAAAGGCAAGCTTTAAAGCTTAGTTTTAAATATCAATCATATATTTCTAAACCTGGGCATTTTAAAATACATTAAATTAATATATGTAAAAGCATATACATAAATTGTTGTGAAATATAAAGAAATATAGATTAATATTATTCATTACATAACATATTGTATAAAAACAGTTCACAAGTAAATATACCACTTGCAAGTTTCCAATAACTGTAAATATAAACAGAATTTCACACAAAATTGTTATTGTCATGCTCCAGCATATAATTTATGTATATATTGTCATCATTTCTATTTTATTTTCATGTGCACATGACTAAAAATATTTTACACTGCTGCATGTTTTCAGTACAATTCTAAAGGATGACTTATATAGACAATTCCTTTATGATGTCAATGATACGTTTAGTCTCCAAACAAACTCTATAGGGAGGTTATGTTTTGGAATAACATCCTGTGTTTTTGTGCTGTTCAATTCTTTACTGATGGTCTGAGGTTGCATTGTATTAACTCTAGGTATTTTCCAATGTTAATTGATATCCCAGGTTTGTCTAGAGGAAAATCTACAGCTCTACACAACATGCTTGACAAGTTATTATATTTATTTTAGTGCACAGGATCCCTCATAGAGGTGGTCTATTATTGGAGTGCCATATGCTTTTTGTTTGGGAAGAAAGCAGTCCCTGTGTCATACTGTTACAGAGGGTATTCTTTTTCAAGGATGTTGTTCCCTTGAGGACCATATCATGCCAGAGTTCCAAAGTCCAGTAAGACCTTTTGCAGCTCTTATTGTGTAAAAAAAATCTGGGAAGGAGGGAAGAGTTAAACAATAACAACAAAAAAAGGTAACTCTAGAAGGTATAGTAGACCACATGTTGAAGAACATGAATTTCAGAGAAGGAAAGGGCAAAATTAACATTTTCATTAAGAACTTGCAATAACTGTGAGAAAAGCATGCCTAGAAAAGCACGTTTCATGCTTTATCTGATGTAGAGTGATTAATACTTACAAACTGTTTACATATCGTAAATATTGTATTAAATCGTGAAAGGTCATGTTATATTATCTCAGATATATAGGAAGAAAAATAGTAATACTTTATCAATATTTTAGATGATATCTGAAATTAAGGAGCCATATACCTTATGAGCCCTATAGAATGAATTGGAACCGAATAACCAATGCACATTATATAAGCTTAGATAAATAGTGTTACCATTATAGATGAATAAGAGAAAGTAGCAATTCCCAGCTAATGTCAGGAGTGCAGTATTTATTATTCCCCAGCCACATTCAGCACACCAGGTGCCAACAAAATACTTGACAACTCTGCTAAGTTTTGCTGTTCCATGCAAGCTGTATGAACAAAAAGTAATGTGAAGATTAACCTGTTAAGCTATCACAGTGCAGATATACTGGCGATTAAGTTGGAATTTCAAGTCGGATGTGGATTAATTTTCTATTCCATGTTCCAATGGCTTGAAATTATTAGCCGTAATTGTGAAATTGTGTTCTAAGAATTGTGATCCAGAGTTTCTCATTATCAGTATTTCAATGGAATACCACTAGGATAAAAGAGAAATCATTTCGTCTTGTTTGTCTAACAAGAGCCAAACACAATCTTCTCTTTTTAAAAATTTCCACAGGATATGGTTCCAAGACATTGCATTCTCATCAATAAAGAATCAATGAACCTTTTGAATCTCTATGCATCTCCTTCTTTACCTAACATCACTTTAGGACTTCCGGCAGTACAACCACCACTTACAGTAAGTGACTGGTTTAGGAGTACTTTTGCTGACTTTAGTTGATATGTATTAGCATACTCTCAAGTCGTTAGTTCAAGACAGAGATAAAATAATACAGAATGATTTCAAAGAAAAAAATATCTATACTGTTGAAATAGAGAGTCTTTATTTTACATTTTTCCTCAATAATTTTGTTGATATTTCAAGTAAGGAAAGAAATTATCATAGATCTATTAATTTTCAACATGTATATGCCAAAACAATTTAATTCTTTTGAGTCTCACTTTTTTTATTTATCTTTTACCAGCTTTTTTGTCTGTCAAGGAATAAATTTGGGGAAAGGCTGAAGATGCCATATCTCTATATTAAGCTTGTGCTGTGGGAATAATAAAGTTTTAAAATTTCTTTTTTCAGTTTTTAAGTTTGTAATTTGAAAGTTTTCTTTTTAAATATTTTCTTAATTTTCTCTGTAGGTGTCATCACCATTTACAGAAAAACAAAAGAATGAGATGCAGTCAAACAAGCAAGGGGTAGCCATGTCTAGTCAGCCTAGGGGGACTATCAGTTCACTTTCAAGTCCTCAGCCCATTGTTCCAGAGGGAAAGCCAAACTATAGCCATCAGGCTATCTTGCAACATTTGCTATTGAAGGAGAAAATGAGGCAAAAACTTCTACCCACAGGTAATTATGAATGAATTAATGGAAAAAGACTTTATTTTTAACCAAAAATTCAATTGTAGAGAAAAATAGGAAGTTTTCTTGAACTAACCCAACGTCTACTGTCTCCAGGATAAACAATCCTCAGTTCAGAGTTCATCTGCAAACCCTAAATTGCTTTTATGTCATCCCAAAAATATACTCAGAATGCCCTAGTTTCCTGGCAAGGGTGTATTTTTCCCAATTTTAGGGATAAAATAGAATACAATTATCACTGAATCATACAATGTTTAAAATATAAAAGAGACATTAATCCCCCCTTATTCTCCCCAAAACCCAGTTCCACTAAATCTAAGATTAATCCATTGCAATCGCCAATACCAGAAAGTATTTCCCCAAGCCAAAGAACTATATCCAGATAATTTCTAATATATATTAATTGCCAGCACCTACTGGTTATTCAAATTTTTTAGAAGAGATACAAAGGATATATGAAGTTTTTACATTTTATCTACCAGGATTCTGCTTTCATCAAACTCATTGACTTTTTTATTCTAAATTTTTAAAAATATTAATGTAATAACTGTGTAATCATTTCTATCATTTCTAACTTATACTATATCAAATAATACTGTTATACTTTTTTTAAAGGAACAGAAATATTAATACTGAATTAATAAATTGCTATTTTCTACTTTAGGCAAATTAGTTCCAGTTTTATTCTGATTGTCCAAATCATTGAATTGATCTGTTGGTTTTATTCAGAAATCCAGACTTATGGATCATTTTATGCAAATTAATTTGATCACTAAATCAAGTGTGAATATGTGCAGTTTTTATGAAAAGTCAAATTGAAGATGCAAAATTCGGCTTGATATTTGCAGTAAATTGTCTCTTCAGTTTGAAAGAACAATGTACATTGGTGATTCAAATATCACACATGCCTAATTATATATTCAATTAGTTCAATTTTATGAAAAATGATAATTAATAGTCTTATTATTGTCTTCATTGTATTTTCTTTTGATGAGAGTTATGTTGTTGGCCTGCAGGTACAGGATCTCTTCAGCCACAGTCACCACTGGCAACCAATGAAAGTGTCTCACCTGGCCTAAGACCTACACATAAGTTACCTCGACACAGGCCACTAAACAGAACCCAGTCCGCTCCCCTTCCTCAGAGCACCTTGGCTCAACTTGTCATTCAACAACAGCATCAGCAGTTTCTGGAGAAGCAGAAACAGTACCAGCAGCAGATTCACATGAACAAAGTAAGTTTTTATTTGAATTCAGTACATAACAGTGTGCATACATATATTCAAGGTAGAAGTGGCTAGATATAAGTTCAGTTTACAGTAGAGGTACTTTTACATATTTTTTTAAAAAAAAATCATTGCCAAGCACTGCGAGTGTGATTATACAGCAGTATTTTGGCTTAATGATATAACAATATTAACACATCTTTTTTGCAACCTTATAATGTATATAAAAAAATGGCATGTCACACCTGTCATTTACCATTTATCATTAGGTTGAGACTTAATGGAGGCAATAGCAGAACTGGGGGTGGGGAATCCTTGTCAGAACAGCTCCCCCATGATGTTATATGGAGTTGTGATTAAGTAGTTTGTCCAGTTTAGTACTTTTTGAGAACCTCTTAAAATAAAGTTGGAGTGGCACCAACATCACAAGCATAGGCTGTATTCTAATAATGAAGCCTATTATTTTCTATTAATAAAAACTGAAAAAACTATATTGTTATAGATTTCCCCCTGTAATAATATTTTTTTTGTATTTTTAATGTTAAAAAGGTACTTAAATCAATTATATTTCTCTTGTAATCAGTTCCAGATATAAACTAACACAGTGATTAGAATGATAACTACAAAAGCTAACAGAGGGCCAAAATACACATTTCTCTGGAATATTTCTACTATTAAAAAAAGAAACAAGTAAAATGGAGCAACAATTTAGCAATATTTCATTTTAGTGAGAGAGAAAAAATTACAGATAGTTTCTTCTGTCATTTGTCAAAAACCCAGGTTTTGATGTAGGAAATAGTATCCCTTCCCATTGGAGGATTGTACTTATGGGATGCAATACAGTGACCTTCTCAAAACATTTTAACCGAGATGTAAATTTTGACATCTCATCTAGAAGTCAGCAGAGAGTCTTGCCCTTGCTTTCTGAAAAATAGATGTGTGGAAACCTGAACTCGGCTTCCTATTTAAAAGTACTTTGCTGTTGCCAGATTTAATATAATTCTATCAAGATGACAGCTTGTTTCCTTGTAGAGTCCTTTAATCATAATTTTAGAACTCCATTCTGCCCAATAAAAGGAACAGGATTCTGGCAGTTCCAGTTAAACAATTGTCATAGATATCAAAAGACTGACACTACAACAGAACTTTACTGTTTCAAGTATCTTTGATGTAAAAGATGCCATACCTATTCACACCAGTAGACTATTTTCAGTCATCTGAAATATTAAAAATAAAATCAGCCAGGCCCCATATTTGCTTCCCTCAGGAACCAACTATTTCATTCAAATAAACTTTCAAGCAGTCATTACTATAGTGCTTTACTACTTTAATACCTAGCATTAAGAGACATACTGCCTCTGATCTAGGACGTAAAATATAGTCAATTAGTTGTTATTTTATCAATTTTAAAAAATTGATAGCCATCTGTATAGTTTAAAAAATCCAGATTAATCCATTTCCCTTTCATTTGTTCAAATTAACTGCCAATTTGTTTGCCACACCTGCCTGAGTTTTACAATAAAATGAGAGGTAGAGCTGAGTTCCAGCCATAGTTTGAGAGTGTTATGATATGTACAGAATAACCCTTGAGTAACAAGGATATGCACATAGAAATGTTTATGAGAGTAGTTATGAATAATTATCCAGCCACACACAGATACACTAAATTGAGTTAAAGTTTACTTTAAGCAATAGCACAGTCCAATAAATGGTCCAGGTCATATATGTTTAACAGTCCAAAGAATATCCAATTACAAAGTCTTCTTACAGGTTGCCTTTGTCATTTACAGTAAACAAAAATATCAAAGTATAAGCACAGCATAAATACAACAGAGAACCTTAGATAGCAACAGAATGTCAGAGAAACAGAATGTCAGAGAGAGCAAGCTATGATCTCTAGCTCCCTCTTACGGTAATTTGCAATATAATCAACCAATCGAATATAGTATAAATCAATACAGTGATTTTGTCTTAAAGCTACAAACATACATTGTTGGTTTATATATTGCCAACCCAATTAATTGGTGGACAGATTCCTAACATTCTCCCCTTTGGGTAGGTCAATATGTAATACACTACATATAATGTAGTGAATAATGGATTGTGCATTTTAAAACCTAATTATTCGCTTAGCTGCTTGCCAATGCCTTTCATTCGGTTCAGCGTTATGCCTAGCCAATTGGTTTACACTGTAAGATATATCTGGTCTAGACAAATTACCCATATATGAAAGACTACCGATTAAGGATTGATATATTACCTTATCAAACATAGGACTTTCACTATGTGAAAATTCCTTACTCATTGGTGTCTTAGCAGATTTACAATGCTCCATGTTATAGTGTTTTAATAATTGACTAATCTTCTTGGCTTGTGAAATTTTAAAACCTTTAAATTTTAAAACCTAAGTTTTCACTATATCAAGACCCAAATAATGCTTAATCTCCCCTAAATTTCTAATTATGAACTTTTTCTGTAATCACTTGCTTCTTGTTCAGTTTTAGTTATAATTGCTAATAACAGTAATAGAGAAATTAAACCATCGTTTTCTCTTCGGAACAAACAAGGATCAGCTATACCAGCTTCAAAACCTATTGAAACTAATTCCTTTACAATACATTTATTCCATTCATAACTGGATTGTTTTAGACCATAAAGACTTTTCTTTAATTTCCAGAAATCAGTTTTTCCATCATCCTTTAAACCTAATGACTTGTTCACACAGATGGTATGTTGTAAAGGTGCATGTAGATATGCAGTTTCAACATCTACATGGTTTATTTTACATTTATTCTTAGCTGCCCAAACTAATGCTGCTCTCAATGTATTTGCTCTCAGACTAGGTGCAAACACTTCATCATAGTCCTTATCTGACTGAACAAATCCTTGAACAACTAATCTTGCTTTATGGGTAATAGTCCCATCCACACCATACTTTATCTTATACACCCATTTGCAACCTATTGCAAGCTCATCTAGTGGTAACTTTACACTCTCATACACCTCTAAATCCTTTAGCGATTTTAACTCCCTATTCATAGCTTCTTGCCAGACTACCTGATCCTTTGTAGGATACAGTTTTATTTCGTTGAAGTTAGAAGGTTCTGTATTAAACTGACATACAATGCTGGCTTGAAATCTGTCAGACGTCTCTCCCTAGTTGACCTCCTAGGCAACTCAGTACATGTTGTTGGCATGTCCTCTTCCTTTACCTCTCCTATCAAATCCTCTTCTACAGTCATAGAGAGTTCTTCTATTGATTATTCCTCCATTGAGGATTCCTGCACTATCTTATCATCAATATTACTATCATCAGGATTATCGGTAAACAATGGAGTCTCAACAACAACACTATCCTGTACCTGTTCAAGCTTTCTCCAGCCAACATGCTCCAGAAATTTAGCACTTGCACTGCAAAATACATTAGTAGTACCTGACTCCCAAAATCTAAATGATCTATGATTAGCTTCATAACCTACCAAATATAATTTTCTCACTCTATGTTGTCCCTTTCACCTTACGTGTGGGACTATGAACCCATGCTGGGGTTCCAAATGTATGTAAATAACTGAGATCTGGCTTTTTTTCATTCCAACGAGTAAATGGTAATTCACCAGTTGTTGAATTCACTACGTTATTCAAAACATGGTTAGCACACATTATTGCTTCACCCCAAAGTTTCTCTGATAAACCAGAATCCGAAATCATAGTCCTAGCCATAGCCTGTAATGTTTGTCCTCTACGTTCAATATATGAGTTATGTTGTGGTCTATAAGGAGCAGAATGCTTATGTTCAATGCCAGCTTTCTGTAACATGGCTTCAAATTTTCTATTGGTAAATTTAGTACCATTATCTGTTACTAAGCTAATAACTTTCTTTTTCCTTTTCCTTTCAGCAAATTTTAGCCAGTTTACAAAATGCTGGAATTTTTTCTATCTTTGTTTTCATTAAATAACAGAAACCATATCTGGAAAAATGATCAATTATACTTAATATGTAACAGGCTTCACCTAAACTAGGTTTCTTAGGTCCAATAATATCAGCAAAAACAACTTCTAATGGTTCACTGGTTTTAAATCCATTTACCCTATTGATACATGATGTTTACTCTTTGTCATGTTAACAAACCTCTCTCTACTGTTAGTTATACACTGCGATGCTTCACTGTCAACTACCCATATATCATGCTTTACAGTTGTAATTGTACTTTTTTTAAAATATAAATTTTATTTGGGTTTTCACAAAAACATAATACAAATAAAACATCCTTTTTTGAGAATAGCATGAGAATAGCAGGGTTATCACTTCTTCATACAGATACAAACTCAATTTCATATTCATCTTTGTGTTCTATTCCATATCTTATTACTAGTTTAACATTTTCTCCATAATTTTTCCCCTCCCTTGGTCTTCCCAACTTTATTTTTAATTATCTCATATCTAAATTCAATTATATATCTTTTTCTAAGTTTCAATATCTTTCCAATCATATTTATACTTTTGTCTGTCCTGTTTCAATTTCATATTATCTTTTCTCATTAAACAAATTTTCTAGTAATTACTAATTGGAGTATGACACCTTTATATCTTTTAATATTATCCATTCAACTCTTATTTAAACTTCAATTTATGCCTTTAAAATTATAACATTCAATATAGTAACTTCCAATCGAATTCTGCTTGGTACATTCTTAAAATACACACTATTTTCATACACACACACACACACGCACATGTATGTATGTATGTATGTATGTATGTATATTTCTGAGGTTCTCGTGGGTATTTGTATGTGGATCTTTGGTTATTCAGGTTTTCTCCTGCGTAAGATTGGAAGTATCTAGGCAACGTTTCGATGAAGTCTCAATCATCATCTTCAGGCTTGTGGCTTCGGCTCTGTGCCACTCTTCCAATCTTACGCGGGAGAAAACCCGAATAACCAAAGATCCATATATATGTGTGTGTGTGTGTGTGTTTTCTGAGGTTCTCGCGAGTATTTGTATGTGGA